TTACTTGACTGCTCCATAAAAACACTAATTAAAACAATACAGTATAGTACAGCAAGGAAGATTAGATGACTTTCAAAGTCCAGGCTTCCCATTCAGGGCCGAGATCGCTCTGGAGAAGAAGCTGTTCTTAAGACGGCTCGTTCTTGTCTTCATCGTCCTGTATCTCTGTCCCGACGGCAGGAGCTTGAAGGGACAGTGACCAGGATGCGATGGATCTTTTACTATGTCCAGTGCCTTCCTATGGCACCTTGTGGCATAAATCTGCTCTAAGGTGGAGAGTGGGCAGCCAACAATGCTCTCTGCTGCCTTAACAACTCTGCACAACCCCAACCTGTCCTGGGGAATACAGCTTCCGTACCACACACATAAGCCATAAGTGAGCACGCTCTCAATGGCACAGTGATAGAAGGCAAGCAGATACGACATAAGCAGTGTTAACAGGGCAACAAGTCCAACAAATCCATCAGGCCCGCCTTGCATGACAGTGGGTGAGATGCCAAAGAGTTTCGTGGATGCAGAAAGCATCAGGCGCAGAACAGCAAAAGCGGCTGCTAGGAGCCAGCTGGTCTTGGAGCCTGGGATCACCACTATACAGAATCCCAAGAGACTTTTAAGCACTGCAGTACAGATTTCTGAGGGGAGAACGGAGCCAGCTGCAATCATAGTTCAAAGGATGGGAAACCAGTTTTTTAAAAAAACCTGACCTAAGTGAAGTCATGGGAGATTTGCCATAGATGTCAATTGGTTAAGATTTTCAGGCTAAGACAGGGTAACCTCCATGTAGCCAGTGTGAGCAGTCTACAGAAACAACTGTGCAAGTTCCGTGCAAAAGCACAATGGCTTTGCTCCCGGCACACACAAACGCCATTATATTCCAGACTAGCAGAATCGAATACAGCACAAGTATGCAGTTAAAAGAGTTTAAAATAGTAGGGCCTCATACAACCCTACCTGTACTCAAGTCTTATATATATCTCATCTCATTTAGAGTCTACTCTTCATTAGAAAAAAAGAAAACCAGAGTAACAAAACAACAACGTACAACAATATCCCAACGAGAAACAGGAAAGGACATTAAAATCCCTAAATTGGAATTCTTAATCATAATCAAAAGAACAGCAGCCACTATAACACACTCCAAAATCACCATTCAACAATAATATAACACAGCCTGCTTCTTATATGGAAACATCAGGAGGTCGCCAAGTCTTGGGTGGGTAGGTCTTGTGCAACAACTAACAACTCAATAGGGCGATGTGTAAAAGGTAAAGGTAAAGGTACCCCTGCCCGTTTGGGCCAGTCTTGACAGACTCTAGGGTTGTGCGCTCATCTCACTCTATAGGCCGGGAGCCAGCGCTGTCCGCAGACACTTCCGGGTCACATGGCCAGCATGACAAGCTGCATCTGGTGAGCCAGCGCAGCACACGGAACGCCGTTTACCTTCCCGCTGGTAAGCGGTCCCTATTTATCTACTTGCACCCGGGGGTGCTTTCAAACTGCTAGGTTGGCAGGCGCTGGGACCGAGCAACGGGAGTGCACCCCGCCGCGGGGATTTGAACCGCCGACCGTGTGATCGGCAAGTCCTAGGCGCTGAGGTTTTACCCACAGCGCCACCCGCGTCCCGTTAGGGCGATGTGTAGACACACTCAAAGTTTCATCCAGCCTAATTCAACGGAACCTGGGTGAGCATCATGAAACTGCATTCAGATGCACTCCCAACACCCACATCCATTGCACCCATGTGCAACAGCTTGCTTTTATGTGTAGATCACACTCATTGGATCAGGAGGTGAAGGTTTTAAAGCCAGACCAAAATGCTGCAATGAATTCCCTAAGCTTAAAGTCACGCCATGACGTTTCTATTCTACCATTTCTGCCATGAGCTCAGAGTGGTGGTATAATGTCGGCCTCTGTCCTCTCTTGTTCCATCTTCACAACAAACCTGTGCGGCTGGAAAATGTCCTGAATTTATTTGGGGTAAGAGAGGGAGGGGGGGAATGATCCTTCTCTAGATCATACTAATTCATCTTTATATTTAACCAGAACATACTTTTTTGCTTCACTGAGCTACTGATACTCAATTTCATTTTAAAAGAGACCCTGCCCTGCCCAGTACATACTGCATTTACTGATTTCAAAAAAGTTATATATCACTTGATTGTAAAAAAACAAACCTCAAAGCGGTCACTGTTTTACACAACAAGTTAAGAACCTGCTTATAGGCTTCATAGTGGAATATATAGAATCACGTTTTGGTTTTTTTCCATTCCCATTGCTTATATAGTTGTTTGTTTCTTTAGGTGTTTTTGTCGTACTGTTTAAAAAAACCAACATCTTTTTTAAAGCACAATTGAGAAGTTCCCTGGGGAAAGGGACTGATCGTTAAACCACTCTAGGGATTGTAGCTCTAGGATGGAGTAAGGCGTGTCCTAACAACTCACAGCGCCCTTAACAAACTGCCCTGAGTGGTGTGATGCTGCTTTAAATGTATAGTTCAGATAGCTTGAAGCATCTGCATATCCCATAAAGCCCTCTGCCAGCAAACAGGCACAGAGTCACCTGGCCACAGTGATCCATGCGACGGTCACCTCCAGACTTGACTACTGTAATTCGCTCTACGCGGGGCTGCCCTTGAAGCTGACCCAGAAACTCCAGAGGGTGCAGAATGCTGCAGTGAGGCTCCTCACGGGGTCCCTGCCATGGGAGCATATTCACCCAGTGCTTTACCAGTTGCGCTGGCTCCCGGTGGAGTACAGGGTCAGATTTAAGGTGCTGCTTTTGACCTTTAAAGCCCTTCACAGCCTAGGACCCTCGTACCTACGGGACCGCCTCTCCCGGTATGCCCCATGGAGGATTTTAAGGTCCATAAATAACAACACCCTAGGGGTCCCAGGCCCTAAGGAAATTAGATTGGCTTCAACCAGAGCCAGGGCCTTTTCAACTCTAGCCCCGGCCTGGTGGAACGCTCTGCCTCATGAGACCAGGGCCCTGCAGGATCTGATTTCTTTCCGCAGGGCCTGTAAGACAGAGTTGTTCCACCTGGCCTTTGGCTTGGAGCCAATTTGATTCCCTCCCTCCCTCTCTTTCTTTTTTCTTTTCCTCCTCCTGCGAGGAGGCTACATTTTAATATTTTAATGTTTCAATATTTTAATGTTGTATTTTAATTTTGTTTTTAAGTTGTAATCATTCAACTTGTTTTTATTATTGTTTGTAAGCCGCTCTGAGCCCGGCCTTGGCTGGGGAGGGCGGGGTATAAATAAAAATTATTATTATTATTATTATTATTATTATTATTATTATTAAAGCCTATTTGCAAATCTACAACTGAGTTGAAGGAGTATTTCCTCACTGAATGTGATATGATTCTGTAAATGTGAGTGGCTGCCAAACATCCATTGTTTGTTTCCAGTGATCTGTGTAATTAGGAACCATGTACGGTCTAAAACAAATGACAGAAGCTAGATTATTACCTGTACTCATGGGGAAAAGGAGAGCCTTGAGACAGGTAAGAATTGGCTTCAAAGATATGGATTGTTGAAACTTCTCCAAACCCATTGGGTTCATCTGGAGCAGTAGCTCAGTGTCACGTGGACCATAATACAGGCCACAAACATATCTTACACTTGGTTCCTATTATGAAATTCAGGGAATTAAAGGAGAGCAAAGAAAAAAGATAACGGAAATCAAACAGTGGGGGGAAAGAGGCTGAATCTCTTCCCCCCAACTTTCCTTCCTGTTAAGTGACTGAACACTATTACAGCCTGGTGAGTCCTTTCTCTGTCCAAGGTGCTGATTATTTGCAAAAATGAAAATTAATTGGAATTAAAATGGGAACTGGCTGGAATATGCAACGCCAGTTTGAAAGATAACAGACCATTGGGTGCCTCTGAAGGTATCATCACCCAATTGCTTTTAATGGATCTTTTAATATTATTATTTTAACGCTGAAGTTCTACAAGCTTCCAAATGTCGTGAGTTTTTGGGTATTTGCAAATATAAATTACCATTTGAAATGCTTTAAAATCAGCACTAAAGGTTTCATGCTGGCCAGTGGTAAGGCACCAGTACTAATAATATATATTTTGGACGGAGCAGCTTATTGTTTTGCTCTTGTTCTTATTATGCTTTTTTTGTTTTATCTTGTGTTTTTAGGCTTTGAACTGTCCTGAGATCTACAAATGGCAGGAAGTACAAAATTATTATTATTAATATTATTATTTAGTGTTATTCTTTTTAACTATCATCCTTCTGAATGAAAATACACATACGTATACATGCATACACACCTAAACATGTACCCATATGGCAACAGTTGCTTTGGTATGGCCATCGCTAGGATTAAGAGATGAAATATGAAAGGTTTTATGTACAATGATGGCTCATATTTCCTACGTACAGTCAAACCTTGGTTCTCAAATGGCTCCGTTTCGGTTCCCAAACTCTGAAAACCTGGAAGTAAATGCTCCAGTTTTCAAACGTTTTAGGAACCCGAATGTCCGATGTGGCTTCCATTTAAAGCAGGCATAGGCAAACTTGGCCCTTCAGATGTTTTGGGACTACAACTCCCATCATCCCTAGCTAACAGGACCAGTGGTCAGGGATGATGGGAGTTGTGGTCCCAAAACATCTGGAGGGCTGAGTTTTCCTATGCCTGGTTTAGAGTTTCCCTGTTGAATTGAGGCTTCCGCTTTCAGTTTTCAAACATTTCGGAAGTCAAACAGTCTTCCAGAATGGATTACGTTCGAAAACCGAGGTTCCACTGTATCTCTGTTGTGAAACTTACTGCCAGGAGGGGCTGCCTCCAGAGCAGCATGGATGTAAAGCTAAGGCATGGACATTATGTTAAGGGAAAAGTCCTGTTCCAAGCCTCAACCCTTGTCAGTCTTGGGAAATGAGTTTGTGACAAAGCACGGACGATACCGTGACAACCTTTCGATTTCATCAAGTCAATTTCACGTCGAAACTCAGAGTCTTGTGCTGAAGGGATGCCTTCATCTTACCTGCCTGCTTTAGTGATGATCATTTCTGTGCCAATATCATGGAACCGTTTCCAGAGGTCAGCACACTGCAATTCCACCTGAATCTCCTCCATGGATGAGGTAGGAGGTGGTTGAGAAATGGGGCCGCCGGATGTGAGGTCAGAGTGCGTGTCAAAAGAGCAGGATGTCCTCTCAGCCAATGCTTCAGTGTCTGAACCCGTACTCTGCTCTGAATCTAAACAAATGAGAGGGAACACCACATCAAACTATCAGTTTCTAAAATTCCCCACAGAAGGAAGACATAAAGAAAAGTCAGCATAAGGATTATTTTTTAAAAAAAATAATAATAAAATAAAGAAAGACGAGTGAAACGGCATCTCTTTTATTATATGCATGCTATTGTTGTGATTTACAATCTGGTTTCTGGTTTTCTGTTCCTAACATGACATCTGGAATTTTCGTTACGTTTTAAAGCAGCTGTATGAAATTGCCCACAATATAAAATATAAATAGCAAGAAATGTATTCAGGATGCACAATAATGGAGCACTCCAACTGGAGATGGGAGGAAAAGAAAGAAAGAAAATTCACTCAACACCAGAGAAATAATGTTCTGGTTACTCATATGTCCTGCCACATATGTTGCTCTTGCAGTTAGGTATTTTTAGACAAAACGCTTGTTTTCCTTCTTTTTAGTATCTCAGAAATAATGGGTGTTGCTTTTGGTTTTGGGTTTTTTTTGGCAGAGCTTTCTTTGCAAATATATGTTATTTGTTCCTCTATTATAATTTCTGGAACAATGATTTTTTTTTTCCCTTGAGAAAATAACCACATTGCACTAAAGCTGCAGAAGGAAGGATGGCGAACATATGGGAAGAATTATTGGGAAAGTAATTGTTATTTCAAGGGACACCTAGGTTTTTGCAGGGGTCTTGGGATATAAAAGTCTGGCTAACAAAGGAGGGGGAAACAGAACGATGGGGCTGAACCAAAGAAATGGCTTGTGCCAAACCATTTTCAAAAACTGCTCTGCAAACACCGAATGTTGGTGGAGGCCATGGCCATGTTGTGAATATTCCCATGGCCTTCTGAGGTTTGGTGAGCTGGAAGGCAGCACAGGGCCCTCTTGCTCATGGCCCCCTGGTTGGTAAATCCCTTTTCTAGAGATGCCCAGCTGCTTCCCTCTATTGAGGCTTTCAAGTGAGCCATAAGAGCGAGTTCTATTTCGTCAAGCGTTTGGCATGATGTGACTTTCTCTCCACAATGTGATGTTATTGGATTCCATATATAGTGCTATTTGCTACTTCTTGGTGTGATCTTTTCCACGTTTGTCTTGCAGTTTCATTTTTTTATTATTGTGAGTTGCCTTGTGAACCAAAAGGTGGAATACAGAGTTTTATACTTGTAAACTGCCCTGAAAGTATTATTGGATGGTATACAAGTATAATAAATAAATATAGGATATATACTCTAAGCAATATCACTGGCCCCTCCCTAGGATTTTCATTTTGATAAAATGTTAAGCCTTCAGTCCTTTTACTTATAAATAAAAACAGGCAAGCAGTATTCAGTTTTCTTTCCTTTTATTGGTCGTTTGCACAGATGGGAAGTGAGAACTCCAGCAGTGTATTGCTAGTGCAAGGAAATGATTTTGCACCAGCCTAGAGAATTTGTACACATTAAACACATTAAACAAAAATCTGATTATCAAGGACACCAATATGAAATGACACATCCCATACTGCATGCTTAATATGTTTCATTAACTTAACTATTAACTATCGTGTTGAAAAACATGAGAACAAACCATCTAACAAGCATTATCGGTGTCACTATAACAAGAATACAAATATACAAGCAACCAAAATGCATGACTCTCATACAGAATATATTGGAGTCACAAGTGCAGGAAATGTAAGCAGTTCATACCAATTGAAAGATGTCCCAGGGATTAGAGAATATTACTTGGCTTTTATACAGAGTGTTCAAAACACTTCACAAAGAATGCAAAAAATGAGAAGCTAGTTTTCAAAATAATAATAGTAATATAATAATAATTTATTATTTGTACCCTGCCCATCTGGCTGGGTTTCCCCAGCCACTCTGGGCGGCTTCCACAAAGACCAAAAATACACTAAGATGTCACACATTAAAAACTTCCCCAAAAGTGAAATTGACATGTTTAATCAGATAAAAGTCATTTTCTTCAACATTTGTTAAAGACTGGAAAGCTCACATAGACTTTTTGCATGAAAAAGAAATAGAAATGATGATATATGGATTTGAGGATTGAAGATAATGTTTGTTTATAGAAAGTGAATATTGTTTTTATATAGTGGACAAATGAAGAATAGGAAGTTCTTTATTTTCCCAATCTTATTTTTCTATGTTTCTCTTTTAACCTCTTTTCTACTCTTCATTCTTTCTTCCTCTTTCTCTATTTTTTCTCTCCCTCCCTCCCTTTTTGAGTATTTATTGTATCTAGATAAAAGGCTTGGTTTGGTTTTTTAAAAGGGGAAAGATATTAAGTTTTGTATTTTTCTCTATAAACCTTAATTTAAAAAATTATTATTATTTAAAAAGGAAGATGTCCCAAGGATTAGAGTGGGCCTTACTTCCAAAGAATAGTACTTGTCTTTTATATAGAGCAGGGATGTCCAACCAGTAGATCGCGATCTACCGGTAGATCCTTATCATGTACAAAAAGTTATGGGGGGAAAGCTAAAAAAAACCCTCTGTGCAATCCTCCCCCCAGAAAGCTCAACAATGCAATCCACCCCCCCCCACCCCACCCCCGCACGCTCCTCCCCCCTCCAAAGACAATGGGTAGATCACTGCCAGTTTTTTTATACTGGGAGTAGATCACAGTCTCTTGTGAGTTGGTCATGCCTGACATAGAGCATTCAAAACATTTCACAAAGAATGCAGAAAGGTAGAAGCTAGTTCTCAAAAGTGACACCCGTTAATGTTTATTGTACCTCAACACATTTCGGAACTAAAGTTTCTTCTTGAGGAGCAAGCCTAGACTTTCTTTCTTTTTTTAATATATTTTTTATTAATTTTTACATAAAATTTCCCCTAAAAAACCATACAACATATTTTCTCATCTTATTCAATGTTTTGAACTTCCATCAACCACATCTGAAGATTTTTCAACCTTTATCACTTAATCTGCATTTCATTAATTTCACTATTACTTTTAACAGTCCTTCACTAATAGTTCTCTTCGTACTTTTCTCTGCAATATTTCACATAGTCCTCCTTACAAAACTTCTTGCAGTCCTACTAGCGTGATCTGTTGATTACAATTGCTTTTCAGATAGTTCACATATTTACTCCAGTCCTCTGAGAATCTCTGATCCCACAGGTTTCAAATCCTTCCTGTCATCTTGTCTAATTCTGCACAGTCCATAAGCCTAGACTTTCTGAAGCAGATCACACAAACTCTGCATGTTGCCCATCTGGCTCCAAAAGGAGCCTGCTTCAGAAGCTCAAAGTCTGCATTTGAAGAAAGAAACCTATAATAAACCTCCATCGCTGGCACTTTGGAGAACTGGTTGCTCTCTTTTTGCATTCTGTTGGGTTTCTGTGCCAACCACCTGACTTGTTTGGATTGTCAAAATACTTCAGATAGCTTATAAGGCCATAACCTTTGCAATAGCTCGGGCTGGTAGGTCAGGATTATTGTGAATGGAGACTAAGACAGAGAGGTTATAGCCTGCCTAATGCCAGCCTTACAAGTTCATGGGAGAATGTATGGAGTTTCCGCTGGGGATTCCCTCATTTGTAGCTTAATCTCTTAGGCACTATGCCAGCGCAGCTATAATGTGCTCAAGACTGCCATGATTCAGCCACATCTAATTTATCAAATAGTTTTCATTTGTAACAGCAGCTTTCCGTAGTAAACCTACGATCAGAGAAGACTGAATGAGAGACAGGCAGACATGGGTGTGACTGAAATATACTACACAGTTGTTTGCTTAAAAACTGCTATCAAAAGCTGTTTTCAAGTCATGGGGTCCGAGAAGGCAAAATGAATTTTTTGCCATTTGACAGAAAATGTTCTGCTGATGAAACATCCCCTAATTATTCTGGATTTTTAAGCAACCTCTCTGCCTAAGAAAGAATGGACTCCTATATTGTTTCTCATGAGAAAAGGAATTCAACAAATTATTTCTGTCAGTTGGGTCAAAGACATAGATTTCCCTCTATATCTCTATATAGGCTGTTCTAATGTTTACATAATGCATTCTAACCCTTTTGGGCATGGACCTGTGCAGTATTAGGGCAAAGCCCATGGCAGTTCATGTGTTAAATTTACACTGAATTCCCAATGCAAACCTGCATCCAAAATAAGGGCACAAGCCCTCCACACAGAATTAAATGCACACAGATGTCAATCCCCATAGGAAGTCAACTGAGCCTTTCCCACCCTCCCACTTTGCCAGCCCTCAGCTGGGCACATATGTTGAGCACACTGCAATATGCCTCACAACAGGTGTCCAGTGGACAGAGCGTGTTTCTCCCTTGCCAAAAGTCCCTCTTGGGGGAAGGGTGGTTTCAAAGTCTTCAATAGAACTGAAGGCATCTCTTAGGAGAAGCTTTGCAGCGTGCCATTTACAGCTGCCAAAAACCAGTTCAATCAATAAGTGAAAGCTCAAAAAAAGCAAAAACCCTACAGATGAACTGAAAGTTGGCTCCTGCACTTTGGTATCTGTCCTATCAACCAACCCCTGGCTCTACCAATAGGTCAGCCTTCCACCAACCTGGTTTCTTCCAGATCTTTTGGACTACAGTTCCCATCAGCCTCAGCCAGCACAGTCATATTGGTTGGGGCTGGTGGAAGCTGCAGTTCAAAGCATTTGGAAGAGACTACATTGTGGAAGGCTGATCGCTTCTCCTGCTTCCACCTCCATCATCTGCCCAAGACAAGGATGGAGATAAGATTAATTCTGTGGCCTGGCATTTGGCAATTTAATGTTTCCAGAAAGGAAATGAGGGAGCTTCCCTCAACATGTCATTATTTTCCACTCTTATGATGGTTTGACAGATGCCTAGAATTATAAAGGTTCCATAATGGTAAGGAGTAAAGCCTCCTGAAAGCATTGCAACTGTACATAACTTTAATTTCCCATTACTTCCTGTTTCCCATTATCCCTTCCTGTGCTCTCCTGCATCTCATCTTTGCCTAGATAGTCAGCCTTCGGTCAAGGTTCAGCCTGTCCGCTTGAAGTCC